CCACTTTTTTCTGATTATTTTTTTAATCTTTAGCATGTTTTTAGTTGAACGTTTTTAAATCTTGAGTCGAAAATTTTCAAATCTTAACTTAAAAGTTTTAAAAGTTTTCAAATCTGAGTTGAAAGTTTTCGATATTCAAATCTGAGTTGAAAGTTTTCAAATCTGAGTTGAAAGTTTTCAAATCTCGAGTTGAAAATTTTCAAATATAACTTAAAAATTTTCAATCAATTAGTGAAAAAAATCTCAAAATAATTTTTTTCCTTAATTACTGTCATTATTCTTAACTAACAGTCTGTTACGCTACCTAAACAATCCGCCGCGTTAGGAATCCCCCGCAAAGCCACGGTGCAAAGTCGCGGGTGAAAGCACGACGGCGGCGCGTGCACCACTCGCGCCCACAGCCACAGGTAATCCGCACCGTACCAACGAGACGTCCTTCATGGCTCACATGTGGGACCCACGTGGGTTCCACTTCCTACGTCAATCAAAACTGATCATTGTAGATCAAAGTTAACACGGCATAATAATGATACAGTGGATGGACTATATATACTTGCTATTTGGTTCATCCGTTAAAAGGGATTTTAAGTGAACTTATTCCTTGTGAAAATGTCAGATCAGTAACATTTAATGGGCCTTTTCTGGACCTAAATATTTAGGCCAATTCAGACGTATTCTAAGCCCATTAGCCAGTTGTAGACGAATGGAAAAAGTACACCGAAGATGCCTTAACTTGTCATCGAGTTACAAGATCGTCATTGAACCGCAAAACCGGATACAACACATCTCTCAACTTATAAAACCAGTGCAAAATAGGTCCTTGGTAGTTTTAACTCCGGTTTTATTTGACGTAGTAGCTGACTCAACATCGGACCCACGTGGGTCCCACATGTCAGCCTCTCCACCTCTCTTCTCTCACTTTTCTTCTCCTCAGTTGGGCAGCGCAGCCGACGGGTGGGGGAGGCGGGAGTCCGGCAGCCGGCGGCCAGCGACGGGCGACGAGGCGGCGGCGGCGACAGCGCGGGAGCAATAGAGCCTCACCCCACGCTACCGCCGTCGCCGCCGCCGACGGCGCGGGCGCCAGATCCAGCCGCCACGAGTGGTGGTCCGTGGCGGCGAGATGGACCAGATCGAGGACGCCGACGTCGAGATGCCTGAGCTGGTGGAGTTGGTCGACGACGAGGGCGGCCTGCAGGAGATCATCGACATCATCCGTGTCCACCGATGGAAGGCGACATATGAGAGGATCATCGCCACTGCCGCTGACGTCAACTCGCTCATCCTCTCCAACCACGTGCAGCTCCTCTACCAGTTTGACAAGGACCTCGACAGGTACACACACATCGTCGCCATCGACGTTGCATTCCCACGTGTTTTGCCATTAACGATGATGCCATGCCGGTGACGCGGATGACTACTTTAAGCAGGCGGTGGCGGTGGAGCTGGTGGATGGGGAGGCGATGAGGAGGTACGCGCTCACGCGGCACGTCCGTGGCGACCTTGCCAGCACGGAGTGAAGGACATGTTCACCCGCGCCATCGACAAGCCGCCATGGACCGCCACCCGTGGCAGTGGGATCTGGCACCTACGCCATCGGTGGTGGCAGCGGCGCGGCGGTGGTGTGAGGTGAGGCCCTCTTGCTCCCGCTTTGTTGCCACCGCCGCCTCGTCGCCTGTCGCCGGCCGCACGTGTCCCTCGGTTTAGTGTTCACCGACCGCACGTGTCCATGGACCGCCGCCCGTGGTGGCTGGATCTAGCGCCCGCGCCGTCAGCGGCGGCGGTAGCGGTGGCGTGGGGTGAGGCCCTCCTGCTCCCGTGTTGTTGCCGCCGCCGCCTCGTTGCCTGTCGCCGGCCGCCGGACTCCCACCTCCCCCACCCATCCTGCGCTGCCCAACTAAAGAGGAGAAAAGTGAGAGAAAATAAGAGGACTGAGGAAGAGAGGTGGAGAGGCAGATAGGTGGGACCGACGTGGGTCCCACGCTGAGTAAGCTTCCACGTCGGATGAAACTGGAGTTAACATCGCCGAGGGATATAGTTTGCACTGGTTTTATAAGTTGAAGTTTTGCGGTTCAAGGACGAATTTGTAACTCGATGACAAGTTGAGGGACCGAACTTCGGTGTACTTTTTCCTAGACGAGCGGCTAAAAGGCCTGATAGTACAAAATTTTAGGTTAGCCCAAGAGACCATGAGAGACAATATACAGTGTGCGCACATCATTTGCTATCACCGAGAAGGCTGTTGGGTGACGCCTTGGCGCCCACTGACGTCCAAGGCCGCTGTCATCCGGCCTGCTTAATTGTCCTCCAAGTGACCCATCATCGTTCTCCCACGACATCCCGAACCTCCAGCTCCATCGATCGGGCCAAGGGGGATCATGAGCTACCGTGCACCTGCGTGCGTATGCCCCCGTGCTGGCTGCAGTGGCGAGAGCGCCCCGAACGAGTCTCGACGTCACGCCCTCGTTGTTGTCACACAGTTGCCCACTATTCAAGGCCGCCTACTGCCTTGGTGGATTGGCTAAGTCCTGGCCATCTCACATGCTGTCACGCTCCGGCTAGGTGGACGCTAGCTAGATCCGCTCGATGAAGGGCCTTGGCCAGATCTGCCCATTCTCAACGCTCCGGCAAGGGGATTGGGTTGGTTCGTTTTTCATTTTCCCCACAACATCTCACCTCCCCGCCTCTCACTTTCCTCCCTCTCATCTTCTCTGGACGAGAGGTATTGGCGCGCGGCTTGGTCTTTGGACGCTTGGATCCACCTTGGCCGGGCCCGCGACGACCAGATCCGTGGGCGGCAGGCGATAGACGGTGCAGCTGATGGCAGGCGGCGGGCAACAAGCGGATCCACCTCCACCGGCCTCGCGATAGGCGGCTGGAGGCACCGCCGACAGCGGGTGGTGGGAGGCACAGCCGATGGCAGGCTCCCCCACGCATTAAAGGAGGCGACGGCGGCTCCCCCGCTCGGATCCGGTGGCCATCCCCGATCAGTGTGGATCCAGCGACAGCGGCGGCAGTGGCAGGAGGAGTAAGATGGCAGCGGGCAGACGAGCCCTTGAATTTTTGCGATTTTTTTCGGATATTTATTTTTGCGTGCGGACTACATAAGCACCCACACGTGAAAATCCGATTTTCGTGTGCGGGTGCGCCACCCGCATGGAAAAATAGTGATTTTCGCATGTCTTTTCGGGCAGAAGGTCCCGTACCCGAAACACCGATTTTTGTGTGCGGGTGGACCACCTGCGTGGAAAAATAGTGGTTTTCATTGATCTTTCTGGGCAGATTGACTGAAGGTCCGTACGCGAAAATCACTTTTGACCCATTTGGAAAAAAATGTTCTATTACTAGTGATCTATAGCATTTTCAAAGTGTCAAAGAAAATTCATCGTAGAAGGCCAAAACTGTAAGGAAAAAGTACGAATTACCCCCCCACGAACTATCGCGACCGACCGAATTACCCCCCTGAACCACAAAACCGGACATCCCTCACCCCAACTATGCAAACCGGACGAATTACCTCCCTCGACCTAATCCGCGGTGGTTTTGGTCTACATGGCGTACGCGTGGCAGTCCAGTCAGCATTCCATTCATTAAAAAAAAATGTGGGGCCACTCTCTTTTTCGCTTCTCTCTCCTCTCTCACTCTCTGTCTTCTCTCTCACACACTTTCTCTCTCACTCTTTCTCTCTTAGTCTCTCTCTCACGCGCACAGCGGCAAGGACGGGGGGCCGGAGGCGGCAGCGAGGATGGCGGCACGCGTGGCGCGGCGGCGCGCACGCACGTGGCCGGGGAGTGGAGGCGGTGGCGAGGATGGCAGCACACACGGCGCGGCGGCGCGCACGCACGCGGCCAGGGGACGGAGGTGGCGGCGAGGACGGCGGCGTGGCTGAGACGCGCACGGCGGCGCACACGCACGTGGATAGGGCCCGGAGGCGGCGGCGCAGCGCTTTGAGGATCTCCTCCTAGTACTCCAAAGCTCGTGCTGTTGTGGTCACCGGTGGCTTCAAGTTGGGCATTACGGCCTCCCAATATGCATCGCGCTGCCCAAAAACATGCAAACACGATCATGCAAGCAGTCAGGCCACCTCACTGAGACATAACATCGAACACTAGGCGTGCGGCACCAGTAAAACGAGCCAGTGACGCCGAGCCGAGCAGACCAACCTGTGGGGAGCACGGCTGACAGGACATCGCCTTCCCAGAGGTGGAGGTGTCAGTCATCGGGCCGCGTGATGGTGAGCTCCTGCGGCGGCGGCACCGATCCGATGGAGGGGGAGGTGAAAGGGAAGGAAGAGAAAGCGCGGGGCGGAGGGAGGTCGACGGAGCGTGCAGGGCATGCCGCCGTCCTCGCCGCTGCGTGCGTGCGTGCGCGCTGCCATGCCGTGCGTGCCGCCGTCCTCGCCGCCGCCTCCGGCCCCGTCCTCGCCACTGTGCGCGTGAGAGAGAAGAAGAGTGAGAGAGACAAGAGAGTGGGTCCCACATTTTTTAATGAATAGAATGCTGACTGGACTGCCACACGTGCGACACGTAGACCAAAACCACCGCGGATTGGGTCGAGGGGGGTAATTTGTCCGGTTTACATAGTTGAGGGTGAGGAATGTCCTATTTTATGGTTTAGGGGGTAATTCGGTCGACCGCGATAGTTTGAGGGGTAATTCGTACTTTTTCCAAACTGTAATAGTGTCATACTATGATGGGATTACATTGGACGAGAAAATTAGAACACTATCGAACCGGCAGGGATGATCTAGTAGTGATCCGAAACATAGACTGCATTTTTCTCATATTTTCCGTTAGCAAGCTTATCGAACGGCTTAAAAACACAGTACATTTTCGAAATAAATTATTACTTAAGTTTTTTTTATTAAAATTCAAATAAATTTATTTTTAAAATTTATAATAGGTACTGGTAATACTTAATTAATTACTATGGAGTTTGGCCCTATCTCTGCAGAGTGGCCACTGGACGGCATCCGAGCCATACTTAATTTAAACAAACCTACTTAAAAAAAGGGGATTAATCTGGCTGGAGTGCACATGACGCTGCACATCGTCGCATGCCATCTCTCCCCCAAAGTCGTCGTCGTCTAAACTTAACGTGATGGAATGGCATCCATAATATTCGTCCACCCTCTCCACTACTTCGTCTCCACCACCAGAGCATCTAATTTCACGCTCCAAGCAGTATACTTCACACTCTCGCTACCTCGCTAAGCTAAGCTAGCTCTCCTTCAACGCCACGTCGACAATGGCGGACCAGCCGCAGCAGCAGCAGCCGGAGCCGGAGCCGGAGATGGGGGCGCAGCCTCAGCAGCAGTGGGAGGGCGCGGTGGAGGCGCGGCTGCCGTCGACACCGGCCGCCGCGGCGTGGCCGCACCTTGCCGCCTTCTGCTCGCTGCACCGCTACAACCCCGGCATCGACGTCTGCGAGCGCGTCGCCGGCGACGACGGCGTCCCCGGCTGCGTCCGCTACGTCGCCTCCCGCCCGCCACCACCACCTCCGCGAGCTAAGGATGGTGGTGACGACGACGACGACGACCAGCAGCCGGCGGCCGCCGCCGCCGGGGTGGAGACGTGGGCGCGGGAGGAGCTTCTCGAGAGGGACGACGCCCGGCGCCGCCTCGTCTACGCCGTCGTCGGCAGCAACTTGGGGTTCGGCCGCTACGTCGCCACCATGACGCTCGTCGACGACGACGGCGAGGACGTGGATGTCAACGCTCCGGCGCCGGCGGCCGCCGCCGCCGCAGGGTGCAAGCTCGTGTGGGCGTTCGAGTGCGAGCCCGTGAAGGGGTGGACAAGGGACGGCTTGCTCGCCTACCTCGACGCCGCCGGCAAGGGCATGGCCGAGCGGATCGAGGCCGCCGCCGCCGCCGCCGTCACCGACATTGCCGTAGAAGACGACGCCGCCGCCGCTCGCAGCTAGAAGAATAAATCAAGTAAACTTTTAATTACTTTTCCTGCTTAATTAGCCTCTTCTAATGATTTGTTTGGTTCATCTAGATATCAAGTCACATTTTATTACTCTTTAATTCATCGTGTAAAAGTCTAAAAGAACATATATTAGAAGGTAGTGTTCGTTTGCTAGTCAATGTGTACGTGGACGATGGTGAAATATTTTTCCATATGTGAGACTTTTTAGGTTGCTGACAATGTACATTTCGTAGTCCTTCGTTTGATTACGTTTGATCGATCGAGATCGTCCGTCCACACGATGATTGTATGGTTGCAAATATTTTGAAGGTTGAAATGGAATCGAATTATTCCCTCTTGTGATCGATGTGTGGCCAAATTGCGGTAGCTAGGCTGTGTGCATATGTTCCATCGGGTGAGAATCCAAAACTTGGGGAATCGTCGACAGATCAAATCGGATGCCATCATCTCGATTAAAGGTGAAAAGTACTGCACTATCTGTTTCCAAGCTTTTTCTTGAAACATTCTACATTTGATAGGGCCCTGCTTTAGTGTGTTTCCACTTCTAGTTGCTAAACTTAAATCCTATTTAAGTATATATGACAAATCTCATCTAGTTATTCAAAATGATATTTTTCACCCCTGTATCTATTGTATGTGTTGAGGAGGAAAAGAGGGGAGGTGCGGGAGAGGGGGGGTGTTCTTCGAGACTCCGACTATGCGTTGTTTACGGTTGAGTCCCGTAATCCACTTTACTATTGCACGGTACATATTCGTAGCACAGTTGCAAACTATACAAAGTCGGATTTGAGCAATCGGTAGGCCATAGCTGGATATGCATGCATATTGCAAAAGGTCAAAATTGTTTGAATTTAGAAAAAAAATTACTGTTCAAGTTTAGGTAAATCTGTTTAGGTTTCAAATTGTTTTTTTCTTGCATTTCCAAAATTTGAACGCCTGTACTGAGCTTGGGACTATGTTTTAACTTCAGATATTATTTATGTTTATGCAATTGTTTGCGCACAGATGAATCGTGCACGCATGTGCTTTGAGAAATACTAGATCCATAACGTCTGATAGCTCAGGTTTGTCTGTGTGGCACGTTGGCACGATCGATCATGTGACGGGCCGTTGATCCCGGGCAGACACCATGTGTTGCAAAAATAAATATTGATCTCACATAAACTTATATGAATCCATTCATTGACCTATTTGTTCATAAGTCATTAAATAATTAATTTATTTTCTATTATAATTACATAGAACAAAGACATAAAGATTAAGAGATATCACCGTAGAGGCGCACCCCACATATATTTTTCCTTGTGATTACATAGAAAACGTATACGCTACACGCACCTGCACACCACCTTCAAATACACCCACAAATCAAATGCCCCCTGTAAAACATGATATGGACACCAACGATAAATTAAGAGGACTTTTACAGTACATTCTACTGCTAGTATATACTAGCAGTATGTTAAAGGGTAGATTTGGTATTTGTTAAAACTCTGAAAATGGCTGTTTAGTAATTTGAAATTGAGATTTATTTCTTGCGATTTAATTCAATCGGGAGTTCATGGATCTCGTCGTCCGGGTGTTGTAGCGCTCCCATCGTGCGTGGCGACGGCGCGAGTGGAGGCGTAGCAATTCCTTCGACGGTCGGATTTAATCTAGTAGATTGAGTTTGCAATGGGCATGATTTGCATAAGACCACATAAGAGTGTAAATAGATTTGATCTGTTCACAGCAATGAAGTGGATTATCTCATACATTCTTGGTTCGATCAGTTTCTAAGTGTCTGAATCCCTAACACATACCAAGTCCTTAATTCATTGAACTTACTAAAGAAAGAACGGCGGCGCGGCGGCGCCGATTGTGGTCGTCGGCAGCTCGCAGAAGAAATGAGCGGCGACGGTCGCCCATGCACGCAACATCGAGAAAAAAAGGGCTTCGACTGGGCGGGCGGCTATCGATCGGATCAGATCAAGTGAGGAAACGCGAATTTAAAAAATTACCCCCCACACAAATAGATAAAAAGACAAATATACCCTAAACAATTTATACTACAGGATATTTGGGAGGAAGATCAGATGAATTTACACCGTTAGATCAAATATACTGGTAGTATATACTAGCAGTAGAATGTACCGTAAAAGTCCTCTAAATTAATCCATATTTTGACTTAAAAACCTATTGAAAACACACCGACGTATGTATGATATCTTAAAGGGTGAAATCATACACTCACAACTCTACCACACCACATAACCTGTACTTCCTGTACACCGTGCTGATGTATTTACAAACCTAAATATACTACTATCTCCATATTTTAATGTATGACACTGTTGACTTTTTATCCAACATTTGACCATTCGTCTTGTTCAAAAAATTTATACAATTATCATTTATTTTATTGTGTCTCGATTCATCATCAAATATTCTTTAAGCATGATATAAATACTTTCATATTTGCACGAAAATTTTGAATAAAATGAATGGTCAAACGTTGGTTGAAAAGTCAACGGTGTACGGAGGGAGTACTTTAAACACGTGTTTAGGAGACAGAACCTATATAGATATGTGAACCTCACAAATTTCCAACTGATCAAAGCGCACACATAATTGTGTCTTAAAACAATATTGTAAAAAGAGAATATGTCATTTGCGTGCGTTCGGATAAAGAAAAAACTTTGGTGTGGTCAAGGAATTGTTATTCCATAACTCGGCTTCTTAGTTTAAACCATCATAGCATTGTGGCCTGCGTTAAGAGGGACGTCCACATATGTGTGCATGTGGTGTTCATGTATGAGGAACATGTTTGTCTCCATTATAATAAGAAATCTCTACTATTATAAATTGAAGTTATTTTTGTCGGTACTTTGATACGTTATTTGTGTATGAGTCTATTTTTAAGTTCGTTCGCTTTTGAAAATATAAATACGAATTTGAGTCGGCTTTTAAGTTTGTTCGCTTTTGAAAATATAAAAGGAATTGTATAGGAAATCTCTTAAAAAAACTCGCACGCTAATTTGAGACGATCGGATTCCTAATGCAGCTCATGATTTTCTAACAAAATATATATCCAAGCGAATTTAATAGAGAATTTTATCTTAAATAAACCATATAACAATAATAAGAGTATAATAGCCATCACTTGTTACAATACACGGACATTTTTTTCTAGTAAAAAAAAGTCTGAAATGCCCTCTTGAATTCAAATGATTCCGCACCCTATCAGTGATTTCACATCTTTAAACTATTCACAAAACAACCCCTTCAGTTGAGTACTGTTTCAAGGTGCATGGCTTATGGTTTGAATTGTATACATGGGGCTAGTTTGACCGGCGATACGTGGCCGGTCAGACCGATTGAGTCCAAGTCCAAAGCAAATTTTGAATTCCAATTGATCTCTCTATCTCAAATTGAATATAGATGAGTACCTATAGGAGGCAATACCGTCTATTTTAAGGGCCAAGGCCTGTTTAATTGGAAACACAATCACTTTCAACACAATTAACCAATTGAATCATTTTTTTTTCAATATGCATATACCTTTTTGCCTAGTTCTTTTAATTTTATCCATCTATTTACACTGTAAATCATCCGTCTTCATTGCGACGCACAAAATTCCTTTATAGGTTTGTCCCTTAAACTTTCCGTCCACCCACAAAACGGACGTGGCTTGCCTGCTCCCATCCGTGCTCCCGATACATCGAACCGCTTTGTTTCTCCAGCGGTGGGTCCTGCAGCTTCTTCTCTGCCCTTCCAAATCAACGACGACATTTTTCCAAAAGGAAAAGAAATATCTTCAACGAAAAGTGAAGTGTATGCTAGAACTACTCCTTAATGATCCATTCCATTCTTCTCCTACGAAAGAAATCAAAGGTAATGACCTCAGATATGAGGGCAACATATGCTTGGCATAGAAAATATCCTAATCTGCTATTCTGCTGCACAGTGTTAATTACAACGATAATCAAGGTCAGATTAACAATCTACACTTGATCCTCAATGTTGATGATATGATATATCGCTTTGCCGTTAGGGGCGGAGCTAGAACGAAATAGAGGAGAGTGTCTCTTGCTTAATTTACTCTACTTTAGATGAAGTTTAAGCTGATACGGGTGCCCAAGTTTGTATTTAGGGATGCTTGGCATAGAAAATATCCTAATCTGCTATTTTGCTGCACGGTGTTAATTACAGCGATAATCAAGGTCAGATTAACAATCTACACTTGATCCTCAGTGTTGATGATATGATATATCGCTTTGCCAGGAGCGGAGCTAGAACAAAATGGAGGAGGGTGGCTCTTGCTTAATTTACTCTACTTTAGATCAAGTTTAAACTGATACGGCTGCCAAAGTTTGTATTTAGGGGCTGTACACATGGTGAAAATCGGTGAGTTATAGCTAAAAAATTTTCTTAACCGGGTTACTGGGCACCCTCTTCCCATACTCTACCTCCACCCCGGTTTGCCGAAGCAAATAAGAAATCTTGCCGCCGCTTGTCACCATTCTAACTCATGACAAACACGTCACACACCTCCGTAGTCGATCTATTCCAACCAATATCTTCGTTCAATTCCTCGCTGAATTGTCCGTGATCCCTTTGCTTCAGTTATTTTCATGGAAGAGGACCAAGGTATAAAAAGGTAAAGATCCAATGCAGGTCAGAAGAGTACGTAGGACTTAGGAGAAAGAAGAACAGTCCCCATCGCGGAAGAATCAGGTCCGTCCGATGCGTCGGGAGAACGGATGGGAGCACAGCGGAGGAGCGGGCAAGTCGCGTTCGACTTGCGGACGGCTGAACGTGTGCAGAGCCTTCCTGCATATGCATGCGCACACAGGCGGCAGCGCGTGGAGCAGGGCTGCGCGACAGGCGGCTTGATTGCGCCGCACGATCTAATTAAGCCTCGTTTAGTAGGGGAAAATATTTAGTTTTGGATGTCATATCGGATATACGGACACACATTTGAAGTATTAAACGTAGTCTAATAACAAAACAAATTACGGAACTGCTAGATGACTGTCGACAGTTTTCTTCTGTGAAAATTGTCAAATTTTTTGGCCATCAATTCCGCTCTAAGATTTGTACTGAGATATTTTGTTATCGGATCTAAACCCTCTTTTCACAAGCTAGTCCCATCATCACATGTTTATGGTAGATTTATTTAAGTTACATCTAAGTTACATTCCAGTTACATGCTAGTTACATTGTAGTTACACTATAATTACATTGTAACTATATTGTTATCTCTATATAAATTAGATATAAAGTTGTATATATTATTTTAATACATATATATAAGTTATTATTATTATAGTATAGTTCTAGTGAAATTATACACTATAGTTAGATTTGAAAGTTTTCACCTTAAAAACACTCGACAGTTTTTTAGGTAGTCCCAACAAATTATGGATTCCGTCAGGAAACTGCGAGACTAATTTATTAAGCCTAATTAATTCGTCATTAGCATATATTTACTGTAGCACTACATTATCAAATTATAGTACAATTAGGCTTAAAAGATTCGTCTCGCAATTTACATGTAATCGGTTTTTTCTCTACATTTAAAACATTCGATGTGACAGCGTGAAAATTTCTGTTTTGGGAACTAAGGGCCTGTTTAGTTCATAAAAAGAAAATTTCTGGGTGTCGCATGCATAAGATATTTGACCGGATATCGGAAGGGATTTTTGGATACTGATGAAAAAACTAATTTCATAACTCGCCTGGAAACTGCGAGACGAATCTTTTGAGCCTAATTAATCCGTCATTAGCACATATGGGTCACTGTAGCAATTATGGCTAATCATGGACTAATTATGCTCAAAAGATTCATCTCGCGATTTCCCCCATAACTATGCAATTAGTTTTTTAATCTATATTTAATACTCCATATATGTGTCTAAAAATTTGATGTGATGTTTTTGGGAAAAAAATTTGGGAACTAAACCATGCCTAAACAAGGCCTAAGACTGTGTTTAGTTCCCTTCAAACTTCCAAAAATTCCGTCACATTTAGACACATGTATGGAGCATTAAATATGGACGAAAAAAACCAATTACACAGTCTGCATGTAAATTGCTTGACAAATCTTCTGAGCCTAATTACGCCATGATTTGACAATATGGTGCTACAGTACATATTTGCTAATGATGGATTAATTAGACTTAATAAATTCATCTCGTAGTTCACAGGCAGAATCTGTAATTTGTTTTATTATTAGTCTATGTTTAACACTTCAAATGTGCATCCGTATACGTCAAAATTTTTTTTTGGGGGAGCAACTAAACACAGCCTAAGTTGCACTATGGCTGGTAGCCACGTGTGCACAACACGTACCGAGGAGGGCAGTTGGCGTCGGCGTCGTCCCAGCGGGTGGTGACCACCAGTAGAAATGGATAAAAGATCGTGACTCGTTAGTTCGCTCGACTCGTTACAAGCTCGGCTTGGCTCGTTTTATTTTTCTAATGAGCCGAGCTAGCCTTTTAGCTCGTTAAGCTGGCTCGTGAGCTGGTCGCGAGCCGAAACGAACTTTGACATTTGACAACCCAGCAGGCAACAACAATCCCAAGCCACAAGGCCACGAGGCCCATCAGAGCATGGAAAGTACCAGTAGTACTACTACTTACCACAAACCCTATATGCCTCTCTCGAGTCTCGATCTCTCGTCTTCACTCTGCCTATCTGCCGCCAGTCCGCCACCATCGCGCACAATCCATCTGCGCCAGCAGCGCCGCCGCTCATCGCCCAGCGCCGCCACATGGTGCACGCGCGGACCTCGCAGCCACGCCGCGCTGCCCCTTCCTTCTCGGTCCCTGGTGCTTGCGCCGTCGCCGCCTCTCTGCCGCGAGCCTCTGCCAGTTTGCGCTGAGGGCTGCAGCACCGTCAGTCGTCGCGGCGTCGCCCCAGCTGGCCGTCGCATGCGCTGTCACCTCGCCTCTGCAGATTGTTGCGTCGTCGGTCGTCGCACTCGAACTCGCTGCTGCGGGATACCTGCCTGCCTCGCCGTCGACCGTCGTGCTTGTCCTCGCCGCTGCAGGCTGCTCGTCGGCACACGTTTCGTTGTCCTAGCTCTTCTAATCTCGATGTCTGATATCTTGCCCTCTCCAGCTCGCGAGCCAAAACGAGCTAGCTCGAGCTACTGACCGAGCCGAGCCGAGCTGCGTTTTCTGGTCGTTTATGTTAAGGAAATGATATGCGAACAATCGATAAAAAACAATATATCAATTATATAAGACATGAGATTTAACGTGGAAAACCCTTCCAAAACAGGAGAGAAAAAACCACGGGCGCCAGCCAGCAAAATATCTTCACTATATCTGGGGAGTTTATATCGCCACACAGCGGCTTACATGAGGTATATATATGGTGGAACCCTAAAAGGGATAACGATCCGTTTCGCGGGGGCTCCGCTGGCCTTTATTAAGTGCAAATAAATTTGTATCACAACTCAACAAACTCCACCTTGAGACAAATTCCTTCTTGTAGCATGAATCAATCCTTCATCCTGAACACAACAAAGACATAAAACACTTTCGGCGCCAAATAGCCTCTTGGGCTAAACCACTATACCAACTAAGCTTGAGCAAAGCTCAAACTTAGCACCGGGAATAGGCTTTGTCATCATATCAGCAGGATTATCATGAGTACTTATCTTGCATACTTTTAGCTTACCTTGCGCGACTACATCGCGAACATAATGGTACTTGATATAAATGTGCTTTGTCCTTTCATGAAACATCTGATCTTTGGTGGGGCATATAGTACTTTGACTGTCACAAAATAAGCTAATGTAAAAATCAACTCCACAAAGCTCAGCAAATAATCCTTTCAGCCAAACTGACTCTTTACATGCTTCAGCAATAGCCATATATTCTGCTTCAGTGGTAGATTAGACAACAACAGGCTGCAATGTTGCCTTCCAACTCACAGCACAACTATCAATGGTAAACACATAACCTGTGAGTGACCACTACAAGAGGAACCCCCTTTAGCAATACATATATGTATTGCAAAAAGTGAAAATAAGCATTGCTAGGGTCTGTATCAATGCATTTAATATGCGCTATCAATGCATTTAATATGCATTGCCTATGCTGCTGTTGCTAGCACCAATAACAACACATACACAATCGTTGGTAACATGTAAGAATAAACGTTGCTAGTTAGCAACAAAGTAAATAGTTTTCAGCCATACTTGTATGCGTTGGTAGTTTCGGTGATGAACAATTCTATATAATCCTTGCAACGGCTATAATCAAGTTGCACCAACACTTATAAGTATTGCAATATAGGCAACTATTCATTCCAGCATGCCTTTGCACAATTATCTTGTTGGGTTAGAGGCACATAAACTCAAATGATGTACACATGAGAAAAACCAAGTCATTCATAAAACTAATTGTAATTAAAGAGAATTTTTTGTATTACATGGAAAATCATCCTCATAAGTCATGACATTAAATTTTGTTCAGAACATCATGCACAAATGTAAACTAAACTATAGAAAAAAAAACATGCATCTGAAGTTGCCACTATCATTGCCACCATCTTCCATATTACAGTCATCATCATATTCACAAGGGATCTTTAGATGACAGTTGTCCACCTTGCAGTAACCATATTGCCCCAGATCATGATCCATTTATCTTGTCAACCTGTAACAGAAAAAAACAACCATTGATACAACATTGGAAGAAAGAAGACCACATCTAAAGAAATTGAGAAATAGCACCGTACAAAAATTGCTGGCCACGCAATATCAAGTTTTACGACATTGCTAATAATTTTGTAGCCTTTGTATGGCCTGATCAATTCTTCATATTTTGCCAATGGAAAATGAACATGCACCATCAAGTATTCAGTTCCTAGCTCAACACCTGCAACTTTGCGTGTTGGATCACAGCTTACAATTGAAGCAACAGCCACATTCTTATTTCGATTTTTCCAGCTTTTCAAGAATACATTAGTTCCAATCTGGTGCATAAATATATGTCCATGAGCATTATCTCTACATAAAGAGCAATTAAGTATGGAAAAGAACATCATATTAAAAGTTTTATCTCCAATGAATTGGCATCCATAATGTTCACTATGTTGCACTGTTGTTTATGTACAAAGTTATTTGGATCAAGATTCAATAATTTAACTATAAAGTACAAACATATTATACCAAATAGAATTCTATAGCTTATCTTTATATTAGGTGGCTCCAGAAGTAAAAATTTACCTTATAAGCATTAGAATTATTCTTCCCTTGTTGCATGTGATCATTCTGGTTCATGTTTCCTTTATTCTGCATGGAATATCAAAATATTGGCACAAACTACAATAATCTAGTTATTTTTATAATTAAACACTGTGAGTTCCAATCAATAAAAAAGTGAAGACTAGCCTTCACACAAATAATCTTCCTCTGTTTCTCAAGGTGATTTTGGCCATAAGTTTGATTGCTCTGTAATAAAATAAGACATAAGATTGTAATGAACAGCTACAATAAACGTTGACAGTTGCAAACAATATCGAGATCATATAATGCTATGTAGTGAGTTCGACATAACAAATAAGAAGAGAATGACCTTATATATAGTAGATTGCTTGGTTGGTAGTTGCAAAACCTTGTTCTGAACATGGATATTTGTGTCCTGATGTGAAAGAGAGACAATATTACTAGTTAGAAAATAGTGCAACTATTCCCAGCTAAAAACAGTGTAATTTTTATACTTTACTATAGCATTGTTTTCATGCTCAATCATATTGTTTTGATGCTCAACCATAGAATTTTCTTGCAAGGGACCGTTAACACACACTCTCTAACAATAGTAGAAACCAAATGGAGATTCATACCATATATTTATGAAGCACTGTACAGTAAAACTTTAATATGGTTTACCTCCATTGAATTGTCAGCGATAAAGTTTGTTGTGCTGCACTGTCTTTTCTGTAAAAATAAGAATTGTTTCGATCATGAGTCTGCAACTTAACTGCATACAGTCAAAATAAATGTTGAAGTGCTAAAGCAAAACATAAATCTGTGCACAAAGTCAATCCCTTGCAAAATATAATAGAATAAACAGTACAAACCTTAGGAGCAGCAGTTGGTTGGTTTTGGCCTAGTCTAACATGGCTCTGAGCATTTTTTTTCTCTTTCTTTATTCTGCAATGTAATCAAAACTACTAGTCAATCATACATGCTATATTTTGTAAAAAACAGAAATTTATAGACATGATGAATAAAAAATAACCTTGGATGCTTCAACAACTTTTCGTGCATTCATCACATGGTTTTCCTTGTTAGTTTTTTTTTTCTATAGAAGAAGGTAAAAAAACATTACGAAAACTCTAAGACATGGATTGTTTCATCAATTGTTGCATTAGAATAGCACAAACATGGTGAGTTGCAATCAATAAAAAAAATGAAAACTAACCTGTGCAGAAATAACCTTCCTTTGTTTCCCATAGTCATGTTGTTCCCAATTTTGTTTGTTCTAAAATAAAATGCATAAGATTATGAACTATAGTAAACAACCATAGCTACAAACAGTACAAAATCATATAATGTTAAGTAATCATGGTGGGTTCAGAATAATAATATAGTTGGTAAGACAAGTACCTTGTCTTCAACACATTGCTTGGTTTTTGGTTGCAAATCCTCATTTGGAACATGGCTCTGTATATTCTGTTTTGAAAGGGACCATATATTCTCAATTACAAAATAGTGCAACTATTCCTAGCTTTACAATAGTGCAATTCCAGTATATTACCATCATATTGTTTTCCTCCTGAACCATATCGTTTTCCTCCTCAGCAATACAAATTTCTTGCAAGGGATGGTCAGAATACACTCTCTGTCAACAGTAGAAAAGAAAAGGAGTTTTAGACCATATTTTTTTCCAAACTATATAGGGTAATCTTCCATAGAGATACATACCCTCCTTTTCGAAATAGGGCCATCAACACTAGCTTCTTTGTTTGTAGATACTCGATCTAAACCTCCCTGTAACACCAACTAGGTAGGTTAGATACATTCAGTGAGTTACAAACATTTTAGGACAACTTCTTCAAATTCTCACCTGATTCATTTGTTCTTTTTCCAACTTGTTTGTCTTCGCTTTCAATTCCAAAAGCTCAGCATCATGATTCTGGACATGATTTTCGATCTTTTCCAACTGCAGTCTAGCAGCCACAACATCTTCACTCCAGTTATCATCCAGTCTAGTAACATTTATATTCTTTAAGCGTCAGGAATTTGGCACATCGAGAACTTGTTTAGGCTTTGGAACTAGTCCAAGACCATGCACATGCCCAGGCTTGTCATCTCCAAGTATTTGGTTCAATGCATCTCCTTTCCAAGCAGTCCTTCCTTCACTAGTGTCTGCTAAAGCTGGTTGTTCAACTACAAGTTTCTTCAAATTATCCTAAACACAGGAACAATATGAATAGAACATATGAAAAAAAGTTGAAACTTAAATTATCTATAGTTTAGATTTGATAGTATACCACATGCCCATTTAGATTCTTGCCAGTTTTGCGCTTGTGTGTTTGGATGTACACAATAGCTCTGTGAGGATTCTTTGCAGGATCTTTTTGTCTCTATGGAACATGTGAACAAATCATTAAATCCTACACAGTCTATATAGGATTGGAATGGAAATTGGACAAATGCTATTCCAGGACATGTTTTACCATCTCTTCTCTTGTACGAGCAAAACTATTTGTCCCTGCTGTGTGTAATGCCTTCTTCTTTCGACAATTTTCCTTGTTCTGCTTGCTTATTTTCTGTTCTCGTATCATAAGAGTTAGCAAATATACATGAGCACAACATTGTTTAGTTCAATTGATAGTCTCATTTGTAAGAACATCACAGTAGTGAATATGCAATGCCTATATACCTTCGATTTCTCGCTCATCCAATGATTGATAAGAGCAATCCACTGGTCAGGAAGCACATCAGCTGGGACATTGTTGCAATTAGCTTCTTTGCTCTTATTCACATCAAAATACTTTTCTTTTAGTTTTGCTTTATGTCCCCTCCATCTCTCTCTAATTGTTTTTAATATGAATTCTTCCATCCGAGGAGCATAAAGGAATCTCATCTGGATACCAACAAAGAAACTCATCTAGGGATTTTGTTTTTCTCTCTCTCTTTCCTATTAGAAATCTCCAGTCTGTGTAGCTTAAGCTACACAAAGTACCATTCCTAGCTACCATTCCAAGAAATTTAGACAAAATTCCAGCTTCATCTCCTACTGCCTGGTTGAGATCATTGCACTGAACCACAATCCTAAGCCTTTTCGGAAGGTTCCAAATATCTTTCAGTTTTGTCTTCCCACGTGTTTCAATTGTTCCATTTTCATCTGTTCAATGTTAAATTGCAAGGATAAGAAGAATAATTTCATTATTTCTTACCATCAAGATTTAGTATTTACCTCGAACATTAATTTCAACATCATCATCAGATTCTTCATTGCCTTCTCCAGCATTCATACTAGCATCGTCATCAGTATCTTCATTGGCTTCTCCAACATCGTCATTAGTATCTTCATTACCCTCTTGAACATCACTACATATTGTTTCTTGTTCAGATGGTGTGGCAAGCTGTTTAGGGGCATTTTCTTCTGCAATGTGTTCCTCTGACAAATATTCCTCATGGCTTTGAACAATGCACCGCCTTCTACTCCTTGCCATATCTGCTGCACCAAAACAAAAATAGCATAAACCTATGTATTGCAGTTTGAGTACCACTTTTCTCTACTGCTCTAGAAGAATAATTTCAGAATTGGCTAAAACTTTAGGCATTTTACTCTACTGTTGTCCAAAAAAGTACCACTATGGTTTGTATTGATGAGAAAGGTGCTAGCCTACAGGTTATTAGATACCTCTGTTAGCTAATGAACAATTTTCAAATAGAGGTGTCAACACATTAAAAATTGAACAATAAATTTACCAATTCCAATTTGGATTTATTTGCCAGTCACTAATTCCTTTGTCCATTTTAATTGGCCAACAATTTGAAACAAGTAATTGATAGAAAGAACAAAATTTAATTTGACGCAAGGAGATAAAATGCATAGATGGACAGTGAACGATCAAAAGCAAAAGTGGTTTATTCGGCTAGATTGCAACATCCAGGACAGAGGAATATAAAAAGATCACACATTGGATTGCTTACTGGTCTGTTCTAGCCTAATAGGCTCTGTCACCTAGGATTCATCACTGCATCTGATCCAAAACCTGCATACAGAACATATATATCAAATTAGTAATGTAGTATAGTGCTGAAATGGAATTAGGCCCGAGTGTGATTTGGCAACACAGCTAAGTAGTGAAACATGTAGGAACTAGGAAGGGAGGCGGAGATGCAGGAGCATGGCGGCAGGGCCGTGGGGTGCGCGGCGCGGTGTAGACGTAGGCGCTGGGGAGGCAAAACCGCACTAGCGCTGCAGTGCACGGCCACCGGGCACGAGGCGTCGCCGCGTGGCCCTCAGCGGCCGTGGGGGAGCTCGCCTGCTCAGGGTTGTTGGTCGGCAGGGAGGTGTAGGTAGGTGCATAGGATGGCAGCCAACACAGATTGGGAGAGGAGTGGACACGCGGAGCGGAGAGAAGAAGAGAGGGGATAGAGTTTCGTTGGAGAAGAAAACCCACCCACGATCTCTTTGTTGGAGAATGGAGAGAGAGGGGATAGAGTTTTTCACGGGCAATTAGATTTTCTTGGAGGGATAAAATGGAGGGAATAAATGGCGCGACAACGAAAGACGTGAGAAAAAAAAATATTGAGACCGAAAAAAATGGAGGGAGAGCAAAATAATTTAAGCTCATTTTTTTTCGAAGGAAAGATTTGGAAAATAACGTGAGACTGAAAAAAAAAAGAGGGAAAGAACGGAGCGAGAGCAAACGTTTTGTCGGAGATAAAAATAATGTTAAATTCAGACTGGGTAGATTTAAGCTCAATTTTTTGGAGGGAATGATTTGGAATAAGACTGAAAAAAGAGGGAAAGAATGGAGGGAGAGCAAAATAATTTGCGCAAATACACAAAATGTTAAATTCACATCAAGTAAATTTAAGCTCGATTTTTTCAGGGCAGATTTAACCTCCAGTTATCTAATCTAGTTCAGCTAATTTATTTTTGTGCGGATCAATAAGAAGTAGTTATAAAACTTCATAAATGCACTAGTAAAAATTATTTTCTAGTAGTACAAACCGCGTCATTGCTGACTCGGTCCTGAGAGACCGGATAAAATCCGGAAGTAACATATTGTTTTCTTAAAATAGTAGTTAGTTATTTTATCTTAGCACGACCGAAAAATCACGTGCTTTTTCATTGTCGACCCGGTCTAGACAGACTGGATGAAATCCAGACGTAACATATTGTTGTCTTAATAAAAAAGTAGTTAGTTAATTTATCCTAGTACGACAAAAAAAAAACCACTTGATTTTACATTGTTGACTCGGCCCAGAACATATTTTTGTCTTAAAATAGTAGTTATTCAATTTATCTTAGCACAACCGAAAAAACGTATTTTTTTGTCAATCTGGTCCGGACAGACCGGATGAAATCAAGACGTAACAATTTTTTGTCCTAAAATAATCGTTATTTAATTTATCTTAGCACGACCGAAAAACTATGCGTTTTTTCATCATCGACCCGGTCCGGACATACCACATGAAAAACAGACGTAATATATTTTTTGTCTTAAAAATATAGTTATTTAAATTATGTTAGCACGACAAAACAATCACCTGTTTTTTCATTGTCGACCCGGTCTGGACAGACCGGATAAATTCCGGACGTAACATAATTTTTGTTTTTTCATTGTCGACCCGGTCTGGACAGACCGGATAAATTCCGGACGTAACATAATTTTTGTCTTAAAATTATAGTTATTTAAATTATGTTAGCACTACCAAACAATCACTTGTTTTTTCATTATCGACCCGGTCCGGACAGACCGAATAAATTCCGGACGTAACATAATTTTTGCCTTAAAATTATAGTTATTTAAATTATGTTAGCACTACCAAACAATCACTTGTTTTTTCATTGTCGACCCGGTCCGGACAGACCGGATAAATTCCGGACGTAACATAATTTTTGTCTTAAAATTATAGTTATTTAAATTATGTTACCACTACCAAACAATAACTTGTTTTTTCATTGTCGACCCGGTCCGGACAGACCGAATAAATTCCGGACATAAATAATTTTTGTCTTAAAATTATAGTTATTTAAATTATGCTAGCACTACCGAAAAAACACTTGTGGTCCGGACACCGCAGATTAAATCCAGATGTAACATATTTTGTCTTAGCCACGTGTTATTTCGTTGTCGACCTGATTCGGATAGACCGCGTGAAATTTGGACGTAACATATTTTTTTTCTTAATAGTTATTTAAATTATGTTAGGACGAGCGAAAAACCACATATTCTAAAAATATATTTTTGGATGGTTTATTTTAAAATTTAGAAATAAAAAAGTTCAAGAAATTTTAAAAAATCTGAGCCGACAGAATTTAAAAAGTTTTAGGAATCGCCAATAGAGAAGAAATGAAAAATCGTCACTAGAGAAGAAATGAAAAAAATATATGCATTTGCTAGTATTTGAACTGGAGTCTTCAATTCAGTAGAAGCAGCCAAGTACCACTAGGCTATGTCCACTTCACGTTGGAGAAGTCTGTTTTATTTATTTATTCACGTTAGGTGCCATTGACAATGTAAATAGTTTTCTCCAGGTATTTGTATAAGATGGAAATAGAATAACACAACACAGATAGATGCAAAAATTATAGTCGGCCATTCCATTTTATCATCATATAAACAATATGATATCTTATATATTGAAAAATAAGATCTAACCACCAATTCTGTATATAACTAATGTAGAACATTATTACACAAAGCATATATGCAAATAAAAAAAATGCATCCATCTGGCTCAATCACTTGGACAATCCAAGGAAATCTGCTAATGACACAGTAAAGCTATTGTGGTGAAGAAGCCTTGATCCCAGTAAATCTCCATCCAAAATTACTACCATAAAAATAAAGAGCTCGCCAAGTGAGGATATCAACGATATAAGGAAATCAGTGATAATGGACAGATAGATAGAGAACAACCTTCATAACCTCACCTTTAATTAGTTACCATGTTATCGACAATTGTTCCTTCTATATCTCTTTGGACCCATGTCTGACCATTATGTGCATTGTCAAATAGCTCCCCAAGATTACTGACATGATATGGTTCACATTCCACATCATTCCGCTCTTCGCCCAGTTCAAATATATCTCTGGGTTTCATCTTCCTTACAATAGACCACCCTGGATTTAAATGGTCTTCAATGTAAAACACTTGGTCGACTTGATTTGTAAATACAAAGGGCTCATGCTCAATCTTTTCACCGGTATGAATTTTATTTGAGAAATTCACAAGTGTGCAGCCAAACTTATCTGTTTTCACTCATTTTCCTTTAGTTACATCGACCCATTCACATTTAAACAACACAACTGAGAAATTTCCATAGTAGTCTAACTCAATTATATCAAGTATCCTTCCGTAATACATGATATCACCAAGGACAGGGTTGGTATCACTCGCGGACGTGTAGCTCGATGTTTTTGCAGTCACAACAACTCCACTATTTTGAGTCACCCTGTCATAACGCTTTGATCTGAACCTGTACCCACGGGTATTGAATGCTCTATGTCGTTTTGCTACCTCAATTGGTCCACGTGCCAACCATCTAATATCCTCATCAATGCTATCGATACCTCTTTGATTCTCCAACTGCAAGATCTACACAACACCAAAAGATGCATTAGTTTTACTCATATTTGAAAAGAAAAATCTAAATTTTGATACTTACATGATCTCTGAACCAATTAGGAAATTGTTCATTTTGCATGTCCTCAATGTTTTTTGGAGTTAACCTTTTGCGCTTATTCCTTTTTAAATCAGCAACATGTTCTCTGCAAAACAAATAAACATAAAAGGCTAAGCAAAACACTTTATGCCACATATAAAAGAATACGTACTTTAGATATGGTACTACAGCATCACAGTTGTATAGCACATATCTATGGGCTTGCAATTTTTCTCTATCAGTTAAGGAGTACACCGATGGTTTTCCCAATGGTTTTCCTACTGGAGGAAACAAAGTGGATTCTTGCCTACTCATGGGAGTCTCAAACTGATCTGGTTTGTCATTATTCCTTGATGGTAGGTTATGCTTGGTAGGGAAACCTTCCAAATATCGTGAACAAAATGCCATACACTCAGCTGCCAAATATGATTCTACAATTGAACCTTCTGGACGCGCTTTGTTGCGAACATACGACTTCAATTTACCCAAGTACTTGTAATATATATACAAGACACAAAATTAATAAGTTACGACTATATCATATGACATATGACAAATATTATAAATTGTATACTAATATATTTAATAAAGTACCTTTCAATAAAGTACATCCATCGATAGCAAACTGGCCCAGCAATCTTACATTCAGTAGCTAAATGGACGACCAAGTAAACCATAACCGTGAAGAATCCAGGAGGAAATATCATTTCCATTCTGCATAATGTGATTTTAATTGCTTCTTCCAAACGGTCAAGCTCATCAACATGAAGAACTTTTGAACATATTCCTCAAAAGTAAGCAGATAAGTCAAACAAGACGGATGTGACATCATCGGGAAGAATACCCCTCAAAGCAATTGGCATAAATTGTTGCATTAGAACATGGCAATCATGTGTCTTGAGCCCATGAATTTTTCCTTCGGCACAGTTTACACATTTGGATATATTTGAGAACAGCCATCAGGAACTTTTATATCCCGAAGAACTTTACAGAACAATTGCTTCTCGCTTTTCGACATAGTAAAGCTAGCAGGTGGCAAGTAAAACTTGCTTGAAGTTCTTTGTTGTGGATGCAGCTCCTCTCTAATGTTCATTTCTTTGAGATTAAGACCAGCTTGGAGATTATCCTTTGACTTTCCTTCTAAATTTAGAAGTGTACCATAAATATTGTCGCACACATTTTTTTCTATGTGCATCACATCAAGATTATGCCGAAGAAGATTGCCATCCCAATAAGGTAATGTGAATAGACTACTTATTGCCTTATAAGTTTTTGACTTCTTAAAATCACCAATAGCATTTATTTCATCCAATACCGGACGCCTAAGTTATAGGCTCTACACTAATCTCTGTGGTTCCATCAAAAGAATTTCTATCAAAACAAAATTCATGATTAGGTGGCAAAAATCGACGATGACCCATAAAACAAGATTTTTTTCCCATGTGCCAAACGTTTGGACCACAAGGCGGGCATGCAAATTCTCCATGCACCATATGTGAAGCAAGCATTCCTAAAGCTGGCAAGTCATTTATAGTCCATAGTACAGCTGCCCTCAAATTAAAAGTTTCATCTCTAGATGCATCATATGTGGAAATGCCATTGAAAAATATGTCTCTTAAATCTTCTAGAAGTGGCTGGAGGAAAACATGAATGTTATCTCCAGGACTTTTGGGCCCAGGAATTATTAATGGCATTAGAAGATTAGGTTCCTTCATGCAGAGCCATGGTGGAAGATTATAAATTACTAAAACAACTGGCCAACAACTGTATGTAGAGCTCAACATACCATATGGGTTAAACCCATCTGTAGCTAACCCAAACTGTATATTACGAGAATCAGATGCAAATTGCTTGAACCTTTCATCAAAGTTCTTCCATGCCGGAGAATCAGCTGGATGTCGAAGCGCACCATCCTCTAAGCGCTCTTCATCATGCCAACGTGGGAGCGATGCTGTTTCTCTGCATATGAACAATCTTTTTAGCCTATCCTTTATTGGAAAATATCGTAAAACTTTGCTTGGCGTTGCTTTCTTTCTTTCTTTCTTCGTTAACTTGGTTTCTGGCTTTTTATCTTTCCATCTAGAAGCCTTACAAGTTGAACAAAAATCATCATTAACCTTATCTTTCCAAAACAGCTGACAGTTATTGGGACATGCATGAATTTGTTGATAATCTAGACCAAAATTTGAAACCACCTTCTTAGCCTCATAAAAGTTTTTTGGCAATTCTTTTCCATTTGGAATTGCCATGTGAAGGATATCAAGTAGATCTCCAAATGATTTATGACTCCATTTGTTCATGGATTTCATATTGAACAAAAGCACTAGCAGAGATAAGTGTGATAGTTCACATCCATCCCATAAAGGCTTCTCTGAATCTTTCACCAGCTTATAAAATGCTTGAGCTTCTAAATTTGGCCCATCAGTGTGTGTACACGATGAATCTGCATGATCACTCATAGGCACATCGTCAAACACAGTCCTAAGTGCATCATTAATTAATTCGTGCATGTTAGCACGCATATTTTCATTGTGGGGCTGTGGTTGCTGATTCCTAGTTTGCTCCTCTGAAGACTCACCATGAAAATCCCATTGGTCATAACTCTGAAGCATTCCATTGCACACCCAATGATCATAAACATCATTTTTTGAAAGTAGCATAGTATGTACGCATGTTCCACATGGACAATAAATCTTTGTATCCTCCGACTTATCTTTGTATGCAAATTCAAGAAATCCATGTACTCCAGTTAAGTACTCATCAGAACCTCTAGGGTAGCGCAAAAGAATCTTGATGGTTTTTAAATCCATTTCGACCTGTATAAAAAAATGATATTTAAGATTCTTGTAGATAATAACAATGACAAGGAATTGTCTCTTATGATAATTTTTTGAAAGTAGTATAGTATGTAAGCCTCAGTCCATAAACTGTAAAAACAGGCTATATACTACTTGAAATTAAAGCAAAGAAAATGGATTCTCTCGGAGAAAGTGAATATTAAGGGTTAAAATTTACCAAGAAAGTATATATATAGAGAGAGAGAGGTGCAGCACTTAAGAAAAACCCAGGATGGCTGTAGCTTGCAAGAAGATGAGATCAAGCAAATAAATGAGACATAAATGTTCTAATTTCAAAATAACTGTATGGAACCAAATACGAAGTATAATAACCATCAAACTTCATCCGCCAGCAGCAAGTATCTCGACATAATCAAATTTCATGCACTGCTATATAATGTATATACACACATATCCCATTCAACTTCAGTCCATCATTTTTATGAAGACATTTCTAATAATTTATCAAACAAATACACTAATGAAATGAGTGGAGCAGGCCGGGATTAGGCTCAGACCTTAGTTCTGCAGCCTAGCCGTTGACTACCTTCACCCGCGTTCACCCCGTCAGCGGACACGGAACAGATCGGGGCACTGCCAAGTGGTGAGACCTCCGGCGATTGACTGCGGGGTTGAAAGTCACGACGTTGATGGAGGATCAGCGCCGGGACTATTAAAGGATAGAGAGAATGTTTTTAGTACAAATGATTCAAGGTTAAACATGAGAAATAAACTATCAAAATTATATTATCATCCATAAATGTAAATTAGTCTCTTGAAAATTCAGAACTTAGTTAATTCCTTTAATTGGAAAAGAGGCAACATAAATGAAGGGGATCATTGCTTTGGTCTAAATCCAGTGAAAATATTGTTAGCACAAATTTATTTAAAATCCTATAGGCATGGCAATGTAGAGAAACAGATTGGTAATTGTTTTATAAACAAATCCAGCGGCATAACATATTGGTGTAATACTTTCCTACTATTGACTACTACCTCCGTCCTATTATAAGTGCAGCCATGGTTTTTCGTACCCAACTTTGACCGTCCGTTTTATTTGAAAAAATTTTAAAAAAATTTAAAAACATAAGTTACGAGTAAAGTACTATTCATGTTTTATCATCTCATAACAATATAAATACTAATTATAAAAAAATTTTAAATAAGACGAACGATCAAAGTTAGGCGCGGAAACTTATGGTTGCACTTATAATGGGACGGAGGGAGTACAACTTTGCTTGATTAACAGGGTAGCAGAAAGTTTCTGCGGCATTCAATAGAATGCTGAATGTCCATGGTCTGCTCGTACATGGCATGAACTAGTCAGAATATCATGTTCAACTCAATAGCTAAATAAGTTTAATTGGTGTTTGCATCATTGATAATGCCATATCATCGAACAGGTTCAATGCACCAAAAATCTTTTAGCACTATGACAGAAGATCAGGCCCATCAGGTAGCTATCCCATAGATAATGTGCTATACGTAGGAGTTCGAGAGAAGCAGTTGAGCCTCCAATTCCAAATACTGTCTTCGGAGGCTGGGGTTGGCAGTCGGCAGCCCGACGAAGGAGGCCGCGGCCGGCGTCGCTGTGCCCGGTGGCGGAGGGCGACGGCGGCGCGGCGCAGCGGAGGGGGATGGCGGAGCGGCGCGGTGGCGGAGGGGGACGGCGCGGCGGCGGAGGGCGGCGGTGCTGCGCGGCGTGGCGGCGGAGGCCGGCGCCAGCGGTGCGCTACGATGCGAGGAAGAGGCGGAGCAGAGTTGGGGTCGAGGAGGCGGCGCTGGGTTGAGCCCACTGGGCTGTATTTCGTTCACGTATATCGTTCTGTTGGTTCTCATTAATTAAATTACTAATATAGTATAGTAGTTATGCCTACGTATAAACACAAAGCATAACAATACCAGGTCGTTACGTGACTGGACGGAGAGCACTTTTTCACGAATGTTGCGTCTCTGTTTCGATTAACACAGGCCGATTCGTTTTTTTAAAAAAAAAGATAAACTCGCTTGATTTTTTTTTTAAAAAAAACAGCTCGCCCAGTACACAATGTAAATAAACAGCTCGCTCAATTATTATTATTTTTAAAGAAAGCTTGCTTTAGTCCAAAAGTTTTTACATGGCAAAAAACCAACTCACTTGATGATTTCTTAAAAAAAAACCAGCTCGCTAGATGTCCGAAATGTAAAAAAAAGAATATCTCTTTCAATTATTTTATAAAAATAAACAATAAGTTTGCTTAGTCCAAAAGTTTTTACAGGGCATTGAGACCATTGCAACGAATGTTATCTATTGTAAAGTGGACTCAGGCATTGCAAGATACTCAATCTCTGCAACACATGTTCTACAACACATATTATCTATTGCAAATTAGGCTCACCCACTAATAAGCGTTGTTAGGCTCGCATTTTGGCAACGCATGCTTAATGTGTTGCCAAGTATGTATTGCTAGAGGGGGGTTCCTGTTGCAGTGGACCTTCTCTTATCCAAATCTGCAGCAAAATCTGAATCCACATATCTAACAAGCCCCTTATCAGTCCTGTCAAACTTCAAGTAAGCATTAGCTGTGCCTCTAAGATACCCGAAAATCCACTGAACAGCTTTCCAATGTTCTTTACCAGGATTAGCCATGTATCTACTAACCAAACACATAGCATGAGATAAATTTGGACGGGAGCAAACCATGACATACATCAAAAAACCAACAGCACTAGAATATGGAACTCTAGACATGTATTCTACATCGGTGACGGGCCTCTGCACCACTACAGCAGAAGCTGGCTTTTATTAAGTGCAAATGAATTTAGATCATAATTCAAAAGTTTAGATAACGAGCCGTCTAAACGACTAAACGAGCTAGAGCGAGTCAAGCCGAGCCGAGCTGGCTCGGCATCCACCCCTAACCACCAGCGAACCAAAGTACCCAACAGCCGAGTCCAGCGCAAGGCAGCTCCGGATTCATCGTGGTGTTTGCCACAAGCAGGTTGTCGTGCTCGGAGGGTTTAACAAATTGTATGGTGGTGGGG